CATGTACATGTATTGTTAAAAAAAAAATTTCAAATTTTCTGGTAAACTTTATCTCATAAATTACAAAATATATTTTAAACAGAAACTGATGTTCCCCCCTCTTCCTAAATTTTAATCCTGTCTATCCCACAAGCCATTGATGAAATGGATCATTTATAAGTATTTATTAATATCGTAAGGAATTTAATATTTTTTAAACCAACTGTTAAACCTTTTCCCCCTTACATTTTCAATTATAATCATCGGCAATCACAGCACAATAAAAATGAAATGTCTTTAAAATATGCTCTTGAGACCAAATCAGGACACAAGCTGTAGAATGGACACCAGAATAGAATAGAATAGAATTAGTATATATTCAATTTCGCCAACATTCCAGTCAAGAAATTCAAATTAAGATAAAACCTATAGCTAGACATGATTTCATTAAATTGCATTATCCAGATACCTCGACATTTGAAATATGACCATGAAGAAAAAAACATACTTTTTGGATAAAGCAGCAATATTTTCAAATTTAAATTTATCCCAATTTAGTGTCATTTTTTAACATGAGTTTTTTTTTTTTTTTTTTGCTGACCCAGCATAGCTAAGAGTGAAACACCGTTCAGGGTCATATGAACCCCATTTATGCAACAGTGTAGTCTGTAAATTAACTTATATTTAAATGCTTGAAGAGTAAAAAAAAAAAATGGAAAAGCTAAATTGTGAATTTTTGTCTTTGTTTGTTTTTTAAAAGACATTTAGTGCATCGGATGCGAAAAATATACATTATATAAGATTAAGTAATTGGCCTTGCTCTTGTTTAAGCTTACGACAGTTCATGGATCGGCCAAGGCTGTGCTGCACGGCCGAGAGGTTATCTCGGGACACAGGGAATTCCCCTGCTATAATGTGTTTCTAAAATTAGAAAGCCCTTTAAAAACATACTGAACAAGTTTTTCAACAAGCAAATGTTTACTTATAGCTTATATCGGTAAGAAAATAAAACCCCAAACCCCCTCCCCCCAAAACGCAAAGTCTACGAAATGTTTTCCCCATTAAAAGTGGACCCTGCTCAAAATATTATAACCACCCCTCCTCAGCCCTGATGATTAATGGATATGCTTTAGATACTGAACACTGAAAATGGAAGTTTTAAATTTTCTTTATGGCATAAACGTGTAAAATGTGCTTTAATATTAGAATGCCATATTAATGCATTAGCTTGATAATGACCAATTAAATGCTTTCTTTAAATTTTTTGGTAATTTTGCCGGAATGTCGGTAAAGCTTAAGTGATCATTCTAACAAAGGCAAAATTCTAAACTTGACTAATGACAACAGAAATACTTCAGACTTATTTTTTTGGTTTAAATCTGAACTGATTTTTTTCCCCCTGAAATACTTTGCAATGGAATCGTCCGTAGTATGTTTTCCTGTGTTGTTTTTTTTCCACAAGCTAGTAAAAAACAACGTTGTTTTTCATAAACAAGTTTTGTTTTTCTATTTTGCACGATTGGGTTCATTAGAGGGCAGACTATTTTGTCACCCATAAGACGTTTCGCCGTGTCAGATCAATCGATTTCCATGTTGACTTTCACTTGGAAATCTCCCCTCTATACTACCGGTATGTCAGAAGCCTTTGTCCGCGAGGATGTTCATCTCTTTCTCTTCAGAACAGAGCGAATTTTAGTGCTGCTTAATAAATATATAGCTGTACATTGATGTATAAAATAAATAGGCTCAGGGACTTTTGAATAAATGACCTTTCACTTAAGGACCCTCTATACACCAATGAAAAATGTGTTTTTAGGCTCTGAGTAAATTATACCATATAAAGATATAAATATTGAGTTTATCTTTTTAATTTTCAACATAGGGTACCTGCCATTTATCCCCAGGAAAAATATTCAAAGACAATGAATTGTTGGTGAACTGAAATCACTGTTGCTTACTTAAATGGCAAAAATACATGCAAATAAGGTGTTCAATTAATTCAACTAGACCAAATGAAATGTTTAGAATGTTTGAATTGATTACAAATTGAATAATAAATTTAGATTCCAATTTATTTCATTTTAGATCTAAGGGCGGATCACTCTAACTGCATAAAAACACCATGGAATTGGAATTCTTTAGTGTGCAATGTATAGAGGGTTCTTCTTTTTTTTTCCTGTTGGTGGGTGGGGGAAATATTCTTAAAAAAATCAGCATTATTTTAACCGTTTTTATAGTACATTTTAATTTATTTTTCTTCATTTCCAACTTCCTTTCACAACCAAGTTTTATTGTTGCACGTGCATCACCAAATTACCATTATTTAACTATGCTACAAAGTGGTGGTTGTGGGAGATGGGGAAGGGGGAGGGCAACCAGCCTTTCAAGGAACATTTTCAATAGTAAAAGGTTATGATTGCCCCCCCCCCCCCCCCCCACCGCATATTACTTTTCTGCAAGTGTTATGTATTGCGATCCTAAGGCTGCACTTCATTTAAAAGAAAACCAAATAATGATATAATAAATAAATTAAAAAAAAATATGGACCTTTTACGATAACCGCATAAGTATAACTGTCGAAAGTAAGTAATAAGAAAGTTATTAATTTTCTTTTATAACCTGAAAAGAGATAATTCTTAATGGGATAAGATCCTTTATAAATTTGTCAAGTTGAAATGTCATTCTTTTTTTAAAATTGTCCAATGTTACCAAGCTATGCTAAATTGTTTGCATTTTATTTATAATAAAAAATACATTTCTTTTGGAAAATTATAGGCATCAAAGCAACATTTTATACGAGTGAACGGAGGAATTACATGTCATGATGAACACTCCGTTAATGTAACTTTGGCATGTGTATTGTTTTTAAAAAGGGGGGGGGTTAGAAAAATTTTTCAACTTGCCTAAAAAAAACTTTGACAAGCACAAAAAGGGGGGGGGGGGCATTCTCAACAGTAAAAAGTTTCGTTTGGAAAAAAAAGTGCGCCCCCTTACACACTACTTGTCTGTATGTTGTACGGGAGATAACTGAGAGAGAGAGATAGATTCTTTTTTGACATACATGTATAAACCACTGAACTGGATAACGTAACATATGTTAGAACGTCTATTACAGAATTTCATATTGTTAATTATGATTGTCATGTTGTAACTGCTGAATTTACTGCCACACGGTTTTAAAACACAACAAAGAAACAACCTCATTATATACCAATGAGAGAACCTACATTAGGACGTCCAAATCCTAAACCTCAAGCTTTCTCCAGGAAACGTTTTTATCATCAAAGACCATATACATGAATTAACTTCCATCTATATCCATCATTCCAGAATGTTGTATCATGGAAGCTATCATTCAGACCAACTTATCGCACAAATGTAACCTAAGGCGGGCTATTAATGTGATTTTAAGGTCAGACGACACGTTCCTCAAAAATGTTTTGTATCTCTTGATATTATATAAAGAATTATTCATAATTGTCATTATCTTGTGATTTCTAAATTGTTTTCAATATGATTTTAAATAAAAGTACAACAAAAATTGTGACATAGGCCATTCAGAAGAGTACCAATATGGATTGTGTAAGAAATAACACCCTCTGGTATCTTGTCCAAATCCCTGGTAACGTACCTCAATTTTGTGTGAGGAAACTTTTTTAAGTACCTATACTAATACTTCAATGACAAAGTCTTTGAAAAAATTAAAATATTTTTGAGGAACGTGTCGTCTGACCTTAACATATTTTATTTAGTAATTCAATGAGGATTGGGAAACGGCAAAGCCTATGCATACCTTCTCCTTGTATAATAAATAGTTCAAAACAAAGACAATAAGTAATAATACTTGTATACATGATAATAGAAATGATGATAATCAAAAATAAAGATTCTCAATCAAGTATTATTCATCAGTATTATATTTAAAAAAAAATGATGACCCCCTAATTATATATAATATATTTACCTATTGTTCCAACTTTAATATAAATATAGTAAAAACTGTACATTTAACAGAATATCTAATATTACAGTATAATTAGTAGATTTAATAAATTTATGTACATATGAAAATATTTTACAGTTTATTTAATGGGAATATTGACATTTTCCCCTCAACAGAGTGTCGAGTTCAAAAACAACATCGGTATCATTCAATTTTTTTACCAGTAAATTTCTTTCAACAATATACGATGGACATTTAATAAGGTAATGTTCAGTATCTTCAGAATAAAATCCACATTTTTGACATGGTTGAACATCTGATAAAAAATGATTTTTTAAATGTGCATTTAGATTACTAGCATTGTTTTGCAATTGACAATAAAAGATATTTTCTTTACTGTTACTAAAGTTGAAGTACCTTCATGGTGTATTAGTTGCTCCCCAACTTTTTAAGACATTTTTTTTACATCCTCACTATTATTATTTACAATCACAGCCAAAAGAAATTCTGAAAAACATAAAGTATTTTTAAAAAAGTACAAGATAAAAATAAGCTTATTATCTTTAGCACAAAATAAAAATGTCCAAAAATTAGTGCATATTTGAACAAAGGTTAGTGACTCTCGTGAACTGGGTCAATTGATCTGATGATTGACAGAATGATGGAATTGCAAATTGGAAAGAGTACTCGTACATGTAAGAACACAGGAAAGTATGGATGTAAAATCCCTAAAAATTGCCTACTGATATTATATATATATATATATATATATATATATATATATATATATATATAAAATGAGAGACAAACAAAATAAAGCTGATAAAATTATTATTCCTCAAAGGAATTAAAAAAAAAAAAAAAGATGCATCGGCCGGGAATCGAACCCGGGCCGCCCGCGTGGCAGGCGAGCATTCTACCACTGAACCACCGATGCCTTGCTAATGTGCGGTGTAAAATACGTACTGTCTTGTTGTACAAGCAATTCGGCATTCCTCGACTGACTTTACGCTTAGCTCCGAGTGGAAGTCCAAATATATTAGCATCGTTCAACCAGACACTCGACTGTCTCCGTAAACACCGGAGTCTCTGTGCTTGTCGAGGTTTACAGAGACGGCCGAGTGTCTGGTTGTGCCAAAGGGCTGAACTAACCTAAGCATTGAGAAAGTTTGGTGCGTATATTATCAACATCGTTTGTACGAATAATATGAAAACTAAAAAAAAACCAAATCAATCTGCATTATCAACACAAATGTCACAACTTTCTTTTTTAGACTGAACTTATTTAAGTGAACGGAAAAGAAAACGAAAGAGAAAGTAGGTTGAAATGCAGTTACCCTCTGGTTAAAAGGGGTGGATGTTCTGCCAACACAAGAGGCCCATGGGCCACAACTCTCACCTGGGTCACTATGGTCTTGCTGTTCTTTTTCAATATATTCTTATGTAAAACTTTGATGTGGCCCCACCCGACACCAAAGCCCCAGGGGCCATGATTTAAACAAACTTGAATCTGCACTACCTCCTGGGGATGCTTCCATATTAATATAACTAATCATGGCATATGAGAAGATTTTTTGACAAATTTTTCCAACACATTCCTATGCAAAACTTTGATCACCGATTGTTGCCCCACCCTACCCCTGGGGTTATGATTTTAATTAATAAACTTGATCTACACTATCTGAGTGTGCTTCCGTAGGGAGGGATAGGGTTGGGCCACATTAGAAGATCAAAATTTTACACAAGAATATATGGGAGAAAATCTGTGAAAAACCTTTTAAGAAGTCGTGATTAGTCATATAAATATTTCCATTTCTATTTCACCGTGTCAAACCGTTACTTTGAGGGAAAAAGAACGAGGGAGTCGCTTTTAACGCCAGGGGGAGTCGATTTTCTTCGATTGGAAGTCCGCTGAAAGGTAGGTCACGGCTTTTTGTTGCATTTTTAACTAGAATTTGTACAAATGCTATATCGCACGGAACAATATGATAACTAAGGTACACGTACATCGGAAGTTTGCCAGGCTTAACCATGTAGTGTGTTCAAACACTTCGGATCTATTTTCAGTAGTCACAAAGGACAAGTGCACTTAAGCAATGCTTAATGGGCCCTTTTTCGGTGCCGTTTTACTTTAGAATATATTACCAAATTGTTCTTTTTTGGTAATAGTTAAACACAAGTGGATATTTCTAATTAAAATCACGTTTAAACATCACCTAAATCAGCATGGATTTGAAACAAATGAAGATTTTTAAATGCCTATAGATACCCCAAATCCGGAAAAGTCGTACCAAACCTATTTTGAGTTTCTTTTATTTAAATCAAGGGGAGGAGACATTTAAATCGGACACTTGAGCAATCTGATGGTGGATCATTGACGGGCGTGTTTACCGAATGATACTTCTTGCGCTATTTTACCTGAGAAAAAAAAATCGAATGAAGTTGTATCTAGATGCCTGTAGCCATAGTGATCAAACTAAGAAATTTGCACTCTTGCATTTGAAATAACACAATAAGTATTAACATTAGTTCCTTTAAATTTTAAAATGAAAAAAAGGTGTATTTAGGTGGCTTTCAATACCGGTACCATTGTCTTGCATGAATGTTAAAAATGTTTGAAGCTTTATGTATGATGCCATTTTAACGACACTAAACTCTCCTAACCCTCCCGTGTTCATTTAACCAAATACATAGTACAAACTTCTCAAGGCGGCACGACTTCGGTATAATGATACAAAACGTTGCTATCTTTTACAGTGAGCACCTTTGAGGAATGTTTACCTGGGTAGAACTCACGTGACTACCGGTATTTTAAATAATTTGTTCCACGGGGGGTTCAACAAAGGTCATACAGGTAAATAGCTCTCGCTTGCTATAGAAAAAAAACATTGAACTTTTTATACATTTTTAATATTTTAAGTACAAGCCTAATCTTGTACAAATTTCCTACTTTCACACAAGTTTTATAAATGTATAATGCGTTTTTTGTCATTCGCACAAGTTTGTACAACGTTAGGCTGACAGTAAACAAAAGCTTTGAAAAGAATGACCGTCCTCGATTTACTATAGAAAATCACGAATGTCGGCTGACCCCTACCACAGTGTTTGGCTTTGCTCTTTGTATATTCATGAATTTCACCGATAAAATTTGTTGAATCTTATGGTTTAGATATCAATTAATGATCTGAGATGAAAAATTATGCTTAATTTGATTCTTCATTTTTTCACATTTTACCAGGGCCCATAAGTGCACTCGTTCTTTCACTACGTCGATGGCAAAAACTATGCATTAATGAATATTTACGAAGCATAAGTAGAATGTAGGTGACCTAAGTGTGTTATTATTTGATAATCTTTATTGTTTGATAATCAGAATTTGGAAAATACTCGTTTAAGGAATGCACGGAGACGATTTCTAATTTCAGTGCAAAGGTAATGGAGTGGGGAGTCGATCTTTGTTCATGACTAAGAAAGAGGGAGTCGCAAAAAATCTAAATAATAAATTTTCGCAATCAATGTTGATAAAATGAAAACAACATATGTTGAAAATCACAATTTATTGTAAAAACCAATCTTTTAACGTAATCGTTCTGAATTTTTAGAAATAAGAAAAAAAGAAACAATCATTTTGGATCCATCGACCTCAGAAAAGGTAAATACAATATAGTCCATACAAATGCCAGTTTAAATGGAGAACTGATTTATTAAATTAACCCTCGAAAAATCCTTTTCATTCGAAATCTCCAACACTAAAAAAGTTGAAAGCACATAGGTTATTTCAGTGCAATCTGACAAGAGGGTGACCTTCTCCGTTGAAAAGAACTCCCAAAAAATAATTTAATGTTTACAAATTTTCCGATATATAACAATTAATAGAAATCGAATATCCTGATATATGTACAGCTGATAAAGGTATCCAAACACAGAATGAGACTTCAAAAACAGTATTGGAAGACCTTTTTTTTTTTTTTTTAAAAAAAACTTTAGAGAAACTCTTCAATTACGATTAAGGCGTTGCATATAAAGTTAAACATTTTTGGGTCTTGTTGCAAATGAAAAATGTCCAAAAAATTGCATTGCATTTTTGCTGGTTTTGGACACAGTACGGTTTTGTAATATGTGTTATAGGCCATAAACCAAGCGATTTTGGAAAAAATGATACAAAATTGTTTCGTTCAAAATTTCTTTACATTACGGGTGGTCCAAAAATTTGTGTATGATGCTCCATACATTTCACAAATAATTTTCTTTTTATTTACGTCATCATGGGCTTTTTGATGTCTTTTCATTAAATAGTTCTGTTAAAATGATTTCCAAGAATGACATTGAAATTTTTTTCCATCATAATGAGAATGTAGATGCCTCTTCAGACTAAATACCTTTACCTTTATGTCTTTTTACAAATAGAGCATTCAAAAGACTTGCAGGCGCGAAGCAACGGTTTCAAAAGATGGGGGAGGGGGGGGGGGGGCAACCTACCAAACCAAGACCTTACAGCAACAAAACGTGTGTGTGTGTGGGGGGTGTCAACCATCATCTAAAGGTAAACTTACTATAGCAAAATACTAGGACTATACTAAGAAAAATGTGCCCCCCCCCTCCCCCCCCCCGCATTATACAGGCCTTTGTTGTGGCATTATTTCCACCATCTCGATAATCATAACTTGCTCTTCCATCTGTAAAATCAAATAATCAATGCAAACATAAATCGAAAAGATTCATCACGTATCTTTTAATCAAATAAACAGGATAATCTATATTCAGTTGTACACCATATTTTTTGTTTGAATCCAAAGTATTTTGCTACTCCCTCTTTCTTAATCACGAACAAAGATCGACTCCCCCATCTGTTACCTTTGCACTGAAATTAGAAATCGTCTCCATGCATACCTTAAACGAGTATTTTCCAAATTCTGATTGTCAAACAATAAATATTATCCAATAATAACACATTTTGGTCACCTACTATCTAGTTATGCTTCGTAAATATTCATTAGTGCATATTTTTTGCCATCGACGTAGTGAAATTTGTGACTACTGAAAATAGATCCGAAGTGTTTGAGCACACTACATGGTTAAGCCTGGCAAACTTCCGATGTACGTGTACCTTAGTTATCATATTGTTCCATGCGATATAGCATTTGTGCAAATTCTAGTTAAAAATGCAACAAAAAGCCGTGACCTACCTTTCGGCGGATTTCCAATCGAAGAAAATCGACTCCCCCTGGCGTTAAAAGCGACTCCCTCGTTCTTTTTCGCGACTCCCTCAAAGTAACGGTTTGACACGGTGTATTTGTTTTCTCAGTGATAACTCTTTGAAAGTTAGTTGGGTTGATTTCTTGATCATCCTACTGGAATGTAAATTTTGCCAAGCGAAAGGTCAGGAGCTAAGAAGGTCTAATCAGTAATGTGCATGTAATTCTCGTGCGGCTGTCTTTGTGTCTGACTCTAAGGAGGCCTAATAGTGCAAGCAAATCTTGTGCGGCTATCTTTGTGTTTGACGTCAGTGGGCGGGGACTATTGAAATTGACATGTGAGGCCTCGTATAAATCTATTAGTCTACATTTTTAAAATCTAAATTTACAATTTTATTTCACAATGAAATGGAAATATAAGGAATCACTGTCTAGTTAGTAGAGTATGCCAGGGACATCAACGATAGTTGGAAACGTGGGATAATTTATGCATAACAGGCTTTGCCCGTTATGCAAATTACCCCATATTGTTTCCAACTATATCATTGATGCCCTGGCATACTCTACTAGCTAGACAGTGATTCCTTAAATATGGAAGCATCTTCAGTAAGTGTATATTCAAGTTTGCTCAAATCATGACCCTCCTCCCCTGCCCTTCCTGGGGTAGGGTGGAAAAACATATTTTTACACTTTTTAATACTGAATTAATTTCTGCATTTCTCTAACCAAAATGCTTAAGTGAGGGATATTGCCAACAGATCCATACATGCCAACTTTCCCGATTTAGGCGGGATCCTCCCGATTTTACCCTTTGATCCCGCTCTCCCGATCGGGAAAGCAAAATTGCCCTAAAATCCCGATTTGAAAAAATTCAACCTGAAATTTCCGATTTTCAGTGTTTCCCTACCGAAATATTTTGTCAATCGGGATTAGAATATCAGACTTGCTTATTCAATGCACACAGATTAGTCTCTTTGTTTATTTAACTCATGCAGAGGTGTTAATTAGCCACAGGAAATCACTTCTCGCTTGAACGCACACAGCTGTCCAGGTACAGGTACATGTAACATAGCCTGGAGCGGTTAGGGGGTTAAACTTTTCAGTCAGAAGGGGTATGCATAGTGAAACACATAGATTTAGGGTTAATTAAATATCATTTTAATAAAAACAACAATTAAAATAAATACAGTGATGTGATATGATAAACTAACAACAAAATCGGAATTAATCCATGTTGATCGTTTTTTAAAAACGAAAGTAGAAAACAACAATTAAAGCATAGCTGCTGATTTTATCTGCTTGTACTAAAATATTGTAAAGTTTACCGTTTGATATAAGATGAAAATAATTTAGATGAAACAACAAAGTCTTATACCTCAAGTACACTGAATTCCCCCCCCCCCCCCCCAAATGTAATATGACAACGGAATACCCACATGACACTGCCAAGATTATGCAAAAGTTCATCATGATTATAACAATTTTAATTTTTGTTTTTGATAGGGCCGGTATTCTTGTTTTAAATAATTTATGATCTCAAGAGTAAATTTATTTCTTCAAATTGTTTTGTGTGTGTGATAAAATTATAATCATCATGATGTCTAGTTATTAATAGGGAATAAAATGACACTTCTGTTTAAACTACATAACAGAAACAAATTTTCTTATCTCTCTCTCTCACACACACACCCTCACACAAACAATGCACTGCATTTTTTTAATATTTCTTTAATTTAATGTCTAACTAGGAAATTCTATAATTGTGTAAAATGTAAATATAGAATTTTACAAATGTTTCCCAGAAACTGTACAGTAACAAAACCTCACATATTTCTAAAACTTTGCAAAAAAATTTATTGAACTGAAAGTTGTACATTTTCACATTTTTCACCATTAAATTATGTGTCTTTTTCAAACATAATGTTGTTAAACTAAACAGATATCACTTCTTTAGTGAGAGAGGTACCTATTTAAGCAAAAGATACTTGAATTTTGGAAGGAAAAAAATTGTTTGTATTATTTATTCTTAAATTGTATTAACAAGTGATATTGATATTATAAATTGAAAAAAAAAAAGGCATAAACATTTATTTTCACGACAAAATGTCGCGAATTTAAAGCTTTGAAAATTGTTGTCATGCGCAAAATTCCCCATGGGAATTTTCAAAAGTTGGCATGTATGCAGATCTTTTGTTTTACATGTATTTACAACACCGAATTGAAAGGGCACAAGACTCTATACCAAAAAGGGTCAGTTAAGCCCTTTTTTTCCCAATATATTTCATGTAAAACTTAATGTAGTCATACACACAGCGAAAGGGAAACACGGAAGTTATAAGTTGTAATCTGGACATTTTATTTATTTTTCTATGACAGAATTTATGTAGCTAATGAACATGGAATTGTCATGCAGCCTTCTGTGTCTGATTCATTCAAATCCTGACTACATGTATATAATAAAACAATTATGGACTCTTTTGATGCTGAATATGGTTTGTTATTCATCAGAAAAATATCAATATTGACCTAGGCTTTGCCTCAGTCAATATTGATATTTTTCTGGTGAATAACAAACCATATTCACCACCAAAAGAGTCCATAACTGTATAATATTCTTTTATACTTCATTTAAATTGTTTCAGATGAAAAATTTCTACTACTATCGTGACAAGTATATCCTATTTATATAGAAGAGAAGAGAATAATTTTGACATGCCCCCAGGAGGAGGAGATGACATAAACTTATTAGACATTCCACGCAAAAAAGGAGAAATGGATGATGAAGACGAAAAAGAGAGGCAAAGTCAAGTTAGGGCATTTCAAGAGAGAATTAATAAAGGTGGTAAGCCCCTAAATATTGCCTTTATTGGACCAGCTGGCAGTGGAAAGTCCTCACTTTGTAACTCGATCATGGCGACTTTTTGTGTGAATGGATGGAGAGAACGGGCTACTGTTGGACACTTTGGAGGTCATGCGGAACAGGTCACTCATCATTTACTGAGGTAAAGGGGAAGAATGTGAGAACAGGCCATTTTAGATTTAAATGGAGAGAAATGAAAACTCTTCACTTGGCTTAAATTTATAGGTATTGTTCATTTCTAGTTACATGTAAATAGCAAAGTTTTTTTTCAATTCATATGCTATATCTATTCAATTGCTATGTGCACTTACTTAGTGTGTTTAGTTACATTTTTGTTGTGATTTTACTATATTACCATTATATAATCACAATACTGATTGCTTAGTTTATCTTCAACAGCTTTCCAAAAGTGGAGTACTTAGACTTTGATGCGCTATATGACTACAATTATCCTACTTTAGTGGACATGAATGGTTTCGAAAACAACTGTGATGAGCTGACTGAGGAACTTCTGCGTATTGTCTTCTTCGGAAGGCTACCTAATGAAGAAAAACTCATGGATGCTGTCAAAATTTCAAAGTATTCATAATTTGAATTATATCTCAGGTCTGAGTGCATAGAATTTTACATATATAGTGAAAGCAGGGGTTAACACAAAATAAATTTTGTCCATGACAAGTGGGATATCATTTACAAGTAGTCCAGTGGACTAGTGTAAAATTAGAGCCCAGTATTCTGAAATTCAAAGAAGTTCTTCTCTGATTTGGCATATTATAGTGAACATTTGTTAATCTTTAAACAAACTGTCTAATTTTGAAAAGAACCATACCATTGCTGCACTTGTCGCCCGCATGGTGCAGTGGTTAGAGCATTCGCTCTAGAATCGCAGAGTAAGGAGTTGATCCTTACATCGCGGGTTCGAATCCCACAGTGGGATGTGGAGACCAGTCCTTCGGATGAGACTGTATAAACCGAGGACCCGTGTCGCAGTAGGTGCTGGCACGAAAAAAATCCCTCATTGCTCAATGGCCCTGAGTGCTGAGTATAGGTAAAAAATTTGTAGCTCTCCACCGGCAAGTGGTGGCATCTCCATATGAGTGAAAAATTCTCGAGAGGGACGTTAAACAACATACAAACAAACAAAAAACAAACATCACTGCACTGAGAACTAAGATAAACAAAAAAACCCACAATAGGTCAAATGCACACTCTACACTGTACATCAAAGACAAAGTGGCAGTTTTAGATGGGATTAGTTCTTTTCATATTTAATCTTGCTTGACTTTTTTGTCCACTGAAGCTCGAGATGTCTCAAAGCAGGTTGCCATTTTTGATTAAAGAAAAGTAAAATTAAGGTCAATATCAGTCTTGTTTCTAAAAGCATTTTATGAAAATGACCGACAATAAATATGGTAGGGATGAGTATTGCCAAAAATTTTGTATTGTGATATATCATGAATTTTTTCCCAAAAATATCACTATGAAATCATGATATTTTTACCATGATTTTAAATGAATTTCCATGATTTTTCTAACAAATATAGTGTGGAAACATAACTTCACTATTTTTATTTATATATTAATAAAGCATGTTTGGGTGCTAGGATGCCGTTGTTTTCCTATTTTACAACATTTTTTACAATTCCTGTAATTGTAGTTTAAGAGTTTGAACAAAAAAAAAATTTCTGAATTTATAATTACATATTAAATAGCGGTATTTTAGTCTTCGAATCACAATAAAAGGTCATGATATATCGGTTTTGTGATAAAATCACACATCCCTAAAATATGGTATACTATACATTAGTAGTTTAGATTCATGTTGTTCAAATAATGACCCAAGCTGCACAGCGACCATCAGAATTTCGGAGCGTAACAAAGATCTGATTTTAATCAGATTGCAAGTGATAGGGTGGGACAACAACAGGAGATCAAAGTTTTACAAAGGATATATAAGCAAAATCTATAAAAACCTTGGTAATTCATATTTATATGGAAGCATCCTCTGGTAGTGTAGATTCAAGTATAATTAAATCATAACCCCAAGGATAGGGTGGGCCACAATTGGCGATCAAAGTTTTACAGAAAAATATAAAGGAAAAATCTTTAAAAATCTTCTTCTCAAGAGCAACAGAGCCATGCTTAATCATCTCAGGTATTGTAGAGGCAGATTTGTTCAAATCATGACTTCTGGTGGGAAGGGGGTTAGGGTGAGGCCACAATATGTGATTAAAGATTTTCCAAGGAATAGGAAAAAAGATCAGCAGGGCCATAGAAACTCATGTGAATGTTGTGGCCAAGGAGTCTCTTGTTTCTCTGTGCCATTGGGTTTGAAATAATAAGGTCTGACTGTATGTTACTAATGTTTAATGTTAGTATGTCCATAATTTTATTTGTTCAAATATATTTTTCTTATTATTTACAGGCAGAAAGGAATTGAGGGCTTAAGAGATCATTACTCTAAAAACCATGAAGATTTAAAGATAGACAGAATAATATTTGTGGCATCAGCAAAAAGTGAACTCCCTACACGCCTAATGGAGGCTGTTAGAAAAACAGCTCTGAAAGAGGGAAGAGGTACAATATTACAAGATACTAAGGAACAAGGCATTATTAAAAGAACTTTAATCATATATTTGAACTCTTAATCTCTTGAAACTTTTTAGCTCACTGAGATGAAGGTTCAGTGAGCTTAAAAATCTTCATCTTAAGATCCACTGGACCAGAAAAAAATGAAACTTATATGAAAGCTTCATTTCATAGTTGAATTAAAGTTTTTTACAATAGAAGGTCAAACTTTTACATAGAAAAATATAGGAATTTTTTTAAAAAAAAATCTTCTAAAGCCATGATTAGTTAAAGAAATATGGAAGCATCTTCAGTTACATGTAGTGTAGATTCAAGGATGTTCAAATCATGCCCCATGGTGGGGGGTTGGTTGGTTGAAATCACTTATTGAAACTTTTAAATAATGAACTGAGATCTGCTTTTTTTCTAGCCAAAATGCTCAGGTGAACGATGTTGCCCATGGCCTTTTAATAAGTTTTCACTTTAACTTCAGTTTTGAATTTAATTTATATTCAATATAATGTTTATTGTAATATGAAACTTAACAATCAAATCCAAATTTTATGAAGGCAAAGACTTTTATAAACAAAAGGCTTATGGGCCTGTATGGTCTCCAGAAGTAATTAGCTCACCTGAGCCAAATGCTCAGATTTCTGATTGAAATTTGTCCATTGTCTGTCTTTGTTGTTTTTGTGTAAACATTTCGCATTTTCAACTTCTTTGCCGAAACCACTGAATCAATTTCAACTGAACTTGGTACAAAGCACCCCTGGATAAAGGGGACTTAAGTTTGTTCAATAAAGGAACATACACTCTTGAAAGGGGAAATGATCAAGAAAAAAAAACAAAAAATAGGGTGGGTGTCTTGAAAAATGTTTTTTTTTTCAAGAAGCATTTGGCCAAAAAAGATGAAACGTATGTATGAAAGCGTCCTGAAATATTGTTTATTAAAGTTTTTTTTATGAATCAAGGCCCTGTGAGGAATATTTAGGATTTTTTAAAAATATTTTCTCAGGAACGGCAGAATCATGCCAATGATATTTTAAATATGCAATCATCCTCAGGTAGTGAAGATTCTAGTTTCTTCAAATCATGCCCCTGGGGGTAGGGAAAGGCCACAACAGGGGATCATATTTTTTACATAAGAAGATATAGGAAAAAATGTTCAGACTTCTCAAAATTTGTTATGTTAATATGCAAGCATGCATCCCCAGGTAGTGGCAGATTCAGATTTGTTCAAATTATTGCCCCGGTAGGCAGGGGCCACAGTAGGGAAGATGAAAGTTTTAAATGGAAATAAATAGGAAAAAATGTTTAAAAAATCTTTTTTCGTTAGAAAAGCAGGACCATGAATAGTGATATTAATGTGTTAGCATCCTCAGGTAGTGTACATGTAAATTCAAGTTTGTTCAAATCATGACCCCAGGGGTAGGGTGGGGTTCCAACAGGGGGTCAAAGGTTAACATGGGAATATATTAGAATTTTTTTAAAAATCTACTCAAGGACAGCAGAGCCATGATAAAAAAAAGTAATATGCAAGGATCTCCAAGCAGTGCAGATTCATTAGGATGGGGCTACATTAGGTGATCAAAGGTATTTATAAGAAAAAGTGTTTATAATTATTTAAGCTGTGGCATGCATAGTCTCAGAATTTCTTCAAACTCTCTATAACAAAAGTCTTTGATACTGTAAACTCAAATCAGGCAAAAATTGGTTGCTACGTGTCATGGTTACCATAGCAACATGTCCTAAAGTTTGAAAAATGGCATTTTACAACATGTTCAGAGTCCCACAGTTAATGTTTGCAGCAAAGCAAACAAGTGGCAATGACCGTTTCTGAAAGTTGAAGGCCTAATGCATGATAAACATGTTTGGTAAATCAACTATTACATATGTTACTATGGAAACAAAGTATTCAAAAGTAATAATTTTGTTCATTTAATTTTTTAAAGTCATACACTTAAGAACAAAAACAATACTAGGTTGAAATGCAAGCAAATAATAGATAAAAAATCCTTGTAACATATATCAAGGACGAAATATGATATTTCTTATAGGTTGGCAATGGTTGCCATGGTTTTAATACCACGAAGGGATTTTAAATTTACTCTCTTAGTGTTTTAATCTTATCCTATCCTTTTAAAAAGCATATTTCTATATAACTGATGATCAATTTTTAAAGGCTTTGGTATGATCCTAATTTTCACATTTCAAAAAATTCAAATTCATTTCTTTAAATAGAGCATTGCTATGGAAATTAGCCGAAAAAATATGCATAAAAATCTGAAAAATATTCTGTTTCCTTGGATATGTACCCTTGTATGTAGATTCCCAAAACTTTTTTTTAATGATTGATATTGATGAACAACTAACTGACTTTCAGTTTTGACTACCACCCAATCTCTAACTGGATGCAAAAAGCTGGCACATAGGGTTTAAAGCTGAACACGACTTGTAAATAGGCATACGCCATTTTCGATATTACTATCTACGATATCAGCACCGGGGTATACTCTTCACATTCGTTACACCTGACTGCTTTATTGTCACAGGTATCAGCGTGGAATGGCGACCCGTGTTCGGACACATTCCTTTTACGAATCATGTTCAGCTTTAATATTGATATAAAATTAGCAAAATCGAACATTTTGCCTTCTTGGTAACCATAGCAACAGTGTTATATTTTTCAACAAACTTTATCAATATATGATATTCAACTTTAGTTCTACCTGATAAGTACCATTCAAGGTGAGTCAAATAATATGTTTCTTGATTAAAAGAGAAGTAAATTCCTAAGGCAGCAAAAAAATATCACTTTCAACAACTGGTATGTCGTTTTCATGGTTACACTGCCAAGTACCAATTGATCCCAATTTTTCTTATGTTGTCGGTGTTGCAAGGTCCTAAGGATGTATATGTGCCAGTCATGAATTTTATTGTTTTTCCTCAAGATAGTAGCATTAACCCAATCTTAGCAATAGATTTTGCATGGTTACACTTTCAACCATGAAAGTTATTTTTGAATAATATTGCCAATACCTAATTACTTTAGTTCAAATATTTTTATTGTTTTTCTTAGGTTGTTGATTGAGTTTGATCATTTAACACCTATCATTAGTGAATATTGAGCATTTTTCAGCATCTAAAATGTATTGCAAATGTTACCACTTACTTAGAGATAAATTCTAAATAGTTTCTTTTTAGCATAAGTGGGAACAAGGTGTCATGTTTTTGTGAGAATGGTTTGTTTGTTTTTCTTCGTGTTTATTAAGGCTTAATATTCAAAGTACCTGAAAATCTCAATTTTTCTAACTTTTCTGGCTTTTACCATGGCAACCAAGACACATAGCAACAAAATTTTATTTGATATATGTTTCTGGTGTCAAGTTGTAATAATGGGCAAAGTTTCATCAAAATCGGTGAACATGTGTGGCAAAGAAGTTTAAGTGGTTACAGAGAATCGCTATTAATACGCAAGCATCCTCAGGTAGTGCAGATTCGAATTTTTTTTCAATCCCTGGTACCTAGGGGTAGGGTGCAGCCACATTAAAGGATGGAATTTTACATATGAATGCATGATAGGAAATTATTAAAAAAACATTTTCAAGAGGAGCAGGGCCACTCTTATTCATATCGATTTGTAAACATTCCAAATGTGTTAATTCATTTTTTTTAAATTATGTAATAAAGTTTGGGGGGGGGGGGATAAAATTGTGTATCAAGTTTTACATAATACATGTCTAGAGAAGTGAAAGCCTCCAAAAATTCTTTCATCCTGAACAGCAAGGCTATTTTAGTCATATACACTGTAAATATTGAAGCATTTTCCATGCTACGAGGGGTTATCAAAAAGTTCGTGGACTAGCGCCATAAAATTAAAACCGTTTTAGGTACATCAATGAGTTTTAACACATTTAGTTATCGTCATCTTTTTTATCTATAGAATATTAAATAATAAGTTATATTTTTAAAAAAATTGTTAATATTTTTGTAAGCAATGGTATATCCAGGCGGCACAACCTCAAATATGACATTTTTTTACCTGGGTGTAACTGAGAAAAACCTGGTTTGATATGAGCATTTGTCATAAAAAATCCCGTTAATTCAGGCATGTAGGTAGGACACAATATTTCTGTAAAATTTGCAATTATTACCCCATTCTGTATGTTCTATGAAATTTTATGGTGAATTTTATATAGTGTCCAAACAATTAAGGGCTTGAAAATTACATAAAAAAGGGGGAGGGGCTTTCTTTTTCCAACATTCTATAAAGTTTCGCTTCTAGAAAAACTGGGAATGTTTAAACAGTCAACAGAAAAATAAAATGCATCCAGAGTACCAGTACTTGTTTTTAAATGCCCAAAAAGATTCAGAGAGATGAAAGATGCACAGTTAATGTTGATTTGTAGTCAGGGTGTCAAAAGTCAGTCACGTCGAAATGTGTGGTAGAAATTGAACTCCAACGATGTAATCAAGTGAGGATCTTTTCCTGTGTTTAGATCCATTTACAATATTATATGCATTGAAAGCAGCTGATCATGACTTTGTAATGTCATATAAGGAAGACAGGTTTAAGTCCCTACTTAACTCAAGGGAATCTCCTCGAGATAACTCTAGAGGTAGAGGAAGCGGACATTGAGAAACGTCGGACGTCATGAAATTAAACAGCGACAGCGCCGGGTGATCATATAATGTCTTTTTTATTTTATAATAATTTGACAAATTATCAATGTATCAAGCTAAAATTTTCAATATTTCTTAAAACTTTTGTTGTTTTATGTTCCTTATAATTTTGTAACCACAGACTACATAGTATTAATTTTATCGCATCAATCCACGAACTTTTTGATAACCCCTCATATGTGAATTCAAGTCCAGTTTAATCTCAATCCGCTGGGCAAAGGTGGGGTCAAATTGTTGAGGTAATAAACAGCAGGGCCAATGATTCAGGTGAATGCAGATGTGACCCAACATGGGCCTCTTGTTTGGATGACATGAACAATTTGAAACTTAAATTTATTATCTTCACCTTTTTCATTACACTGTATTAAGATACTCGCATACCAAGATAACAATTTGTAGTTTTGTAATTTTAGATGTTTTTAAAAGATTTTTTCCCCTATAATTTCATATGTTAAAAGTTGAAATTCCTTTTTGCTCCTTTTCCTCCTAAGGGGATACTGATTGAACAATATGAAATCTTCATAACACAATGATGCTTGAAGTCAAATTAACACATGAAGCATAGTACATGTACTTCTTGAGAAGATGTCTAAAAAAAATTCTCCTGACAACAGCAGAGCAAACATGTCCTGTTAACATACTGGATATCATTGATTTGATATTAAGCTTTGAATTAATTTCAGTTATTCCAATCTTTGGCATTCTGACACATCGAGATGAGGTAGACAGGGAGGACGCCGACTATATCAAACTGGAGACAGATTTCAGACATGGTCTTGGATTCTCAGAGAACCGCTTCTTACTTTGTACAACATACTGTGATGCTTATGATAAATATGTTGGAAAAAGCCGTCTGGATCATAGACATCCAGAACTGGACATCCCAATCCTAAAGTTCATGAGACAGGTTTGTATGTAATTCAGTATTGTAGAGTACTGTCTAGACACCCAGAGCTGGACATCCCTATCCTAAAGTTCATGAGACAGGTTTGTATGTTATTCAGTATTGTAGAGTACTGTCTAGACATCCAGAACTGGACATCCCTATCCTAAAGTTCATGAGACAGGTTTGTATGTAATTAAGTATTGTAGAGTACTGTCTAGACATCCAGAGCTGGACATCCCTATCCTAAAGTTCATGAGACAGGTTTGTATGTAATTCAGTATTGTAGAGTACTATCTAGACATCCAGAGCTGGACATCCCTATCCTAAAGTCCATGAGACAGGTTTGTTTGTAATTCAGTATTGTAAAGTACTATCTAGACATCCAGAACTGGACATCCCAATCCTAAAGTTCATGAGACAGGTTTGTATGTAATTCAGTATTTCAGAGTACTGTCTAGACACCCAGAGCTGGACATCCCTATCCTAAAGTCCATGAGACAGGTTTGTATGTAATTCAGTATTGTGGAGTACTGTCTGGACACCCAGAGCTGGACATCCCTATCCTAAAGTTCATGAGACAGGTTTGTATGTAATTCAGTATTGTAGAGTACTGTCTAGACACCCAGAGCTGGACATCCCTATCCTAAAGTTCATGAGACAGATTTTTTCGTCAATCATAATTTATTTGTTACCATTTACTTTCGATTACCCTCTGAGTTTTCCCTATATATTAATTATCAGCCCTTGCGATTTTGTAATCTTCTGTTCCTTCCAAGTCGATTTGGAAAGATGAGCCTCCAAGTTGAAGAAATTGTACAATGTATCAGTTTTCTGTTGTTTGAACGCATGTTGATGACTGACAGACACATCAACATTAAGGAAAGTCATCCCTTTAGGGTATAGAACCATGAGTCATGGTCCATGACAGCAAAATAAATTAATGCTTTAGAGTCCAGAAATAGGTGCTGAAGCGGGTGGGGGAGTATTTTTTTTTCAAAGTTGAGAGCTTTCGTCCCTTGTAGAGTTTATGTATATAGGTGTGGTATGTTTTTTTAAACATGGTATTTCTTGTCTGAAAGTGTCAAAATCTTTATAACAAAGAAACAACTTTTTAAGTCAATTTAAAGTACCGTAGATGGAAAATTTTATTTATTTATTTTACATTTAACAATCGAGAATAAGATAATAATTAAGATACATAGTTCTGTTCTAGATGAACACTGTTGCATCGTGTACTAGAAATATGTTATTGTTGGAATTCATTTAAAATGTATTACTCCTCCTATGTATTTTGGTCAGAATTGCCACTAAGTTTCAAGTCCAGGCACTGCCTTTTCTCATTCCTATTATCAGTAGAGCTAAAGTCTCCTCAGAGACATTCTGGTCCACTATGTTCTGAATAAGATTAAATTTTTGATTTAGGTCTGTGATCCAGCTTTAAAAGTAATCAAAGATAAAACCACTTACAACCAAGAGGAACCACTGACTCCCCCGACACCCGGAACTGAAAGGCAACAATCGGAAGTCCAAGCCAAACAGAGGGAAGACCAAAAACTGATAAAGATGTGTATTAAAGGAGGAGCCATTGCAGTTTTTGTTTGGATTATTCTGCCTTTTATATACAGCTATAGAGACATTGCCAACATCTGTACCCAACACAGTTATGGTGGCTGCAAATTTCGTGATCTGACGACTTTTTGCGATGAAAGATCCTCCATGCATGTGTGGAGGATTATTTTTTCTCTTCTGTTTGCTGCATTCACTATGGGACTGGATTTTCTTTGTGAGAAATTTGATTTGCCTACATAAATGTAGGCTATCAATGACTCGTCTGAAAATCTGGAGCAAAAACATAAAAAAATAATAATAAATAAATAAATAAAAATAAGAATTGGGATGGGGATAAGATTATTATTTTTTTTTTTAAGTGTATATAGATTGTATGACTTATGACATAAAATGTTCTTATCACAGTGTTTCAATGGAAGTTGAAGGTTTTACATGCATCCTCCTTAAAAAAAGGTAATTGAAAAAATCATAACAGTTAGTGGTACTAAATGATCTTCTACATGAAACTGTGTTTGTTAGTGCACAGGAACTTAAGTCTTCAGCTATACAAGTCATTGAAAAAAGATTACCGGTATACAAGGTTGATTTATTTAAATCAAATTAATGTTTTATTTATAAGCTTAAGCAAAAGATGTTCAAAGAATTAAGAATTTTTGTGATATTTATTTCCTGTATGGGACATTGGTTTGTTTGTTGTTTGTGTGCCTTAACTCCCTTCGGGACTTCTTTCATTCATGTTGGGATGGCATAAAATGCTATAGTGCAAGGCTGAAAAATTTGACCTGTACTCGACACTAATGAGCTTTCATTGAGGGATCGTTTTCATGCTGGCACCTATTAGGACATGGGACTTCTGCTGGTATGGTCTTATCTGATGCACCTCTCTATGTCCTGTAGTGGAAGGGACATATGATAATTATAACGAAAAACTAAGACGATATTAGCATGAAGAATTATCAATGTTTTTAATCTTGTAAAAGTTATGCGTGTATAACATTTTTAAAAAAAATTTATGATGTTCAGACCTAAAAAAAAATATTTTGAAAAATTACTGTAAATCACAAGTTAAAGAATAAAGAGACTAATTGAAACAAAAAAATGGAAGTTGATATTGGGAATCCTATGCTTAATATTCCCTTGTATTATATGTAAATGTATGATTGTATTCAAACTTACATCATATTTAGTTTTTAGGTAGCCTGCCTAATTTCTTGTCACAAAATAACAGAAAAACAAAAGCATCTTCTATAGTTATAGAGAGGTTTTATAGAGAGCTTGAAAGGTAAAAGGTGTTTTTATTCAATGTAAAATTTGAAATAAATGTTAATGTTTTTGCATTGTGAGTATTTTTTTTTCTTAAATATGGACTGAAAAATGTTAAGTACATGTTCCACAGTTAAAAATAAGAGCACAAGTTTTTCTTGTACAGTAGGGACTGGTTATACTGTTATATGGACAGTTCTAATATGCGGTTCAGATGGCTGTTTTGTGCTTATTTTACGGTATGAATTTGTCCGTCAAATTCTAATTTTGGGTCAACCGTGAGTTTTCCTCTTATTGTTGAACCCAGATTCATAAAACCTCAAACACACAAACACGAGTTACAATTTTTGTACTTTTATATGGAATCAGCATGGAATATACTTTTACATGAGTTTGGGATGTATCAGCATCGAAGGTCTGATTCCAACTGACTATAATTTTTAACAACAAAACATACATACTGGACAAAGAAAGAGTAAAATAATAGGATTAACAAAAAGTATAAAGAAATCAAGTATCAAACAATTATTGAGAGAATGGTGACATTTTAGCGGCATGTATATAATAGAATTAAAGTAGATGAAAGATTAAGTGTCAATAAATATAAACAGAAGTCAATTAGGAGATTAACTGTCCATGTCAGACTGCCTCAGGTAGGATTAAAGCTGTGCGGAATTTATAGAATTTATCACATTTGCCGAAATATACGAAAAGTTTTTATAACAATTTACACATAGTCCGAAAAGTTAATTTACACAGTAATTTATAATTAGTCCGAAAAGTCGTATTTTACACCGTAACACATGCTCCGCCTTCGCGTAAAACACGTCCTCGTGTTTTGAATGTTCTTTCAATGAAACTGGCCCCTTCTTGGTCTTCCTTGACGTCTCCATGGTTGATATCGTTGTTTATTTTCCACAAACAAGGCGAGCAAATTATCCTTTTCATCTTCCAATATTCGGATTGTCTGTAGCAGGGCGTTGTTTTCTTCCCTTAACTGTTTGGTTGTTTTCTCAGCTTCTGCCTGAATTTGCATTACATACTGATTATGTTCCTTTCCGATCTCATTCAATTTCCTCTGCATCAAGTCCATAATCACTCTGTCACCGTGTGCGTCGTCTTCCAGTTTGCGAATTTTCTCACGATAGATGTTATCATTAGAATTGTTAGATTGTTCTTGCATCTTCTTTTTCATAACCATATTTTGATTTTGAAGTATTTTGATTTCAGATTCGGCTTTTGTTAATTCGGCCGTCAAACTCCTTTTCTCTTTATTTGCATTGCATATTTGAATTTTAAGATTTTTCAGCTCAGTTCGTAGAACACACGAATTATCACATATTGAACGAAACTGACTATCCCGAAGAGAACTGAATGGCAATTCTCGCAGAATTCGTTTATTTTCGAGATACTTGCACAGTCGTTTCACGTCTCGCGTCTTTTTCCTGTTAGCAACCGGTCCTTTGCCCTTACTTTTTGGCTTTGATTCTTTAATCTGCGTGAAGCACATCCTAGAATAATGTCCAATTCTTTGACATCTGTAGCACTTCTGGTTAAACGCGAAACATAAAACGTTAGGATGTACGTTTCCACACCTTCCGCACACTGGATGCTGACACGAAGGGAAGTTGAACTTCTTCTGTCTCCACTGCGGTCGGAAAGAATATTCCATTGCTGGTCCTAATACGTGTACGTCTGCTTCATCTGTATCAGCACTGTCAAAATCTGGGGAAACTCGCTTTCTGGCTCTTGTAGAGGTCCAGGATCTGACTACTACAAAGTATATGTAGCAGCCCCGGGTGTCATTACCCTTAGGTTTCTCCCACCAAGTTTTACGGTATGAATTTGTCCGTCAAATTCTAATTTTGGGTCAACCGTGAGTTTTCCTCTTATTGTTGAACCCAGATTCATAAAACCTCAAACACACAAACACGAGTTACAATTTTTGTACTTTTATATGGAATCAGCATGGAATATACTTTTACATGAGTTTGGGATGTATCAGCATCGAAGGTCTGATTCCAACTGACTATAATTTTTAACAACAAAACATACATACTGGACAAAGAAAGAGTAAAATAATAGGATTAACAAAAAGTATAAAGAAATCAAGTATCAAACAATTATTGAGAGAATGGTGACATTTTAGCGGCATGTATATAATAGAATTAAAGTAGATGAAAGATTAAGTGTCAATAAATATAAACAGAAGTCAATTAGGAGATTAACTGTCCATGTCAGACTGCCTCAGGTAGGATTAAAGCTGTGCGGAATTTATAGAATTTATCACATTTGCCGAAATATACGAAAAGTTTTTATAACAATTTACACATAGTCCGAAAAGTTAATTTACACAGTAATTTATAATTAGTCCGAAAAGTCGTATTTTACACCGTAACACTTATATCCAGTGTAACCTCATTATGAAATCTTACCGTACTTAACAAACCAACAAATTTTACATAGAAAAACATTTTGATAAATTTTCTTGGCTACCTTGCTCAAAATTTGAAACGTTCAAATTCGTATACTGAACAAAAAAAAGAAGAGTTCATAAGTAATAGATTAGTAATATTTAAACCAGTATAAAAGTAAAAAAAAAGTTGATTGCTCTTTATATAAAGGGGGAGGGGTTAGAAAATTTTATCAACTGAATTCAGGCTTTAATTTAAAAGGATTTTCAAATACGTATGGAAATGGATAATGACCCTTAAGTCTTTCCGTATGTTTAACATGTAAAATTCAACATATAAATTGATAAAGTACATTTTATATATTAATTTTGTAATCTCATTTCAAATTTGTTAACATACCCCCCCCCCCGCCCGGTGAAACAACAAATTTTGAGTTTTGGTATGAATTTTTGAAATAATAATTAATAATACCTGTAAAAAGGAATCTTTGTTTCACGAGAGAGGGTATGTTTATATATTTTTCAAAATATTTTCCGTGTTCCGTTGATTTTGTAAATGCGTAATAACAGCTTTTTTTTTTTAGCGTTATAACCCCTTTTGAAAAGGCGTAATAACTATTAACGCCTTTTCGAAAGGCTAAATAACACCTTTTCGAAAGGCTTAATAACGCCTTTTTGTAAGGCGAAATAACTCATAAAAATAGAAACTTCTGTGAAATACTTTCAAAACGCTTTTCCACATAGTCTAGGTTTAATTCAACAAACCTGGGTAAAAAGTATACTAAACAAAGGTAGAAAATTCTGTTTTGCTTTTGTTTTGTTTTTTTTTTTTTTACTTTTTTTTTTAAATTTGTTTTTATGACTAATACCACCATAGTTACCCCCCCCCCCATGTTAAAAAGGTATAAATCTATGTTTATATAGGTAAAATGAATAAGTTTAGGCACATGTCCCATTTCAAGCTTCAATATAAAGTAGAGACTTGTACTTTCATTTCCAATATAAAAAAGTTTCCTCTCAGAGTCCAGGTATTGAAAAAGTTGCTTTGTAAATTGTAATGTTCTTCAATTTTTACGAAAATGGGTGTATTTGCGCACCTTCCGTAATAAATTAAAATATGAGCCCACCCTGCGATCCAAAAAATAAGTAGTTTCGTTATATAATTCAACATTTTAGGTCAGAGGTTGGAGTCTATGCAAAATATTGAAAAACAGCTTAAATTTTTGCCCATTTTTGAAGAATTTTTTCAGGATTTGGGGATAATGACGCAATTCATGACGTCATAATGCATGAACTAGCGAGAAAATTAGGTCAATTTTTATAGGTATGCAGTCAGCAAGGGTCCAATAAAAATTTAATGTATTTCCAATTAAAACTGAGCATTTTTTTATTTTTCAGAAATTCACAGGGCTAAAAAAGGTCCTAAGTGAACCTTGTTCTTTGATTTGGTCATCTTAGAAAATCTTAATTTTAACTCCATAATATATTATTATACTGCATGTGGGGTAAACAATTCATTACGAAAAACCTACAATAAAATAAGTAAAAAAAAATATTTATTTCGACCCATGCATCATTTTTAATAGCAAGTATTCTTAAATCTGCATGTACTCTTCCTATAGTTTTGGTCGCATTTCAACAAGTAGACAACAATATACCGGCATACATGTAATTCCTTTCAACGGTTTACCAGGATACCGGTAATTATAAATTTTTGTGGAATTCTTCGAACCACTACTTCGCCTACAGTTTTAGATTCATTTCAATAAAATGTTATACAAGTTTAGAAAATATTAGGATACATAATTCTGTTTTAAAACTCTACATCGTACAGATGATTAGATTTACTTTGTTTACTGCCCCTGGGGTCTGGATTGACAATTATATTGTTATCAAAAAATTGATGAAAAATCAATTTATATTCGTAACATTAATTTGCAGCTGAATCCTACACCTGTTAACTCGTAAATACAAGATGTAACCCAGTTGTGCCTTTGTGGGAGTTTTAAATAGATCCTCGTTTTAATCAATAACTTAAGAGGGAGGCGTAATGTTACAACGATTGCTTATGTCTGAAGTTTATTATTTTAATTAAACTCTTGACTATGTTGATGCAGGGATGTTTCTTCATCTTTCTTTTATGTTTCGGTAAGTTATTAAGTATTATTGAAGAAAAAATATCCATACATCCCATTATGTGGTCAATTTTAACCTTGCCAATGAATTTGAGGTTTTCATATGTATGCATAAATTTCACAGAAATTAGAATTTGAAGTTTATGGCTACATTAAGGAAACTGTCTACTCAAAAATTGTGTGTGGGGGGGGGGGGGGAACTAATTCGCTCATACAATTAAGATCAGGGTTGTCGCCAGGTTTCTGAAAATGGGGATTTGGGGAGAGTCTGGGAGGTCTTCTCCTCTGAACAAGAACATTTTTCTATAAATGAGTTCTATCTGGTGGGTTCTGTAGCGTTCTTTGATCCTCTTTTACATACTAAATAAACAAAATCTAGCAGTATTACTTCAATAATGAATTTATTGTGTTTCAAAAAACACTTTCGACAGTTTTTTTAAAGGAGTACGATGGCACCCATAGAACACACCCTTGTTCCGACGGCCTCGAAGATAATATGAAAAATTCAATAATTACCGATACATGT